AATAACCTCTCTGAGACCTATTATGTCCCCCCAACACCGCCCAATCCAAGACCTAACCAAAGGACACCTAATTCACGTAATAATAGGAGAAACAGAAATGGTAAGTAAAATTCCACCTTCTTAGATATACTCGAAGCATACGAATACTTATGTAGTAGAATTTTATTTAAATCAGATAATTCGAACTATGGCATCTTACTAGACGATGAAGAATATATTGAGAGAGGTGATCACTGGACACCAATTTCGGAGGCATCTTTAAGAAGACGTATAGAAAATGATGACTGGAGCGATATGAATCCCGGTCAGGCCCAAGAAATGTTAGATCAAATGTAACCCCACCAACATAGCCCATTAAGGGTGCCTCTTTGAGGCGTATATTGTTATTTGTATTTTTTTACCTGTATATTGCTCGTTCCGACAAAAAAAAATATTAAATAAAAAAGGGGTCCCATGCCCTCACCAATTTTTATTTTTATACGATTGTGTAAATTAGAATTGTATTGAGTTAAAATAAAACTTTTACTTATTTTAGTCTACATGATGCCTCGCTCTACGCTTTCACATTTACTATGGGGATTCCACTAAAAGTTGTCTTACAACAATAGAGACGATACGTTCTTTCGCTACAATAATTACCAGAACCCCATTCACCTCTTATATTTTTCCACATACTTTCTTTATGATCTCCATTGCATAAAGGACATATTCCTGAATAATCATAATAATTGCTATATTTATTGCTATGTTTAAATGATAAATTATTGAATTGCTCCAATGTGGTATAAATAACAAGATTTCGTCTTTCTTCTGGATCATCGGGTAAGATAGAAATTGGAAGACGAGAATTGAAAGATGCATTTTTGTTTATAGGTAATATGCATACCTCTGCTTCTGACGAAACTTTTTTAGGCAATACACTCACCTCATTTGAATCCTTTGGATTCGTTTCCAGTGAAATATTATCCTGTAGAATATAGTTATTAGTATTCGATGAAGATTTGTTATCCTCACTTATCATATCTTCCGAATTAGAGGTATGGGATGATTCAGTAGGCATACTTGCTTTAATATTTGATACGTCTTTTGAGCTAGATGGTTCAGTCACGTGCGCATTCTGTTTCGGAACGCTGATCACTTCTTGGCATTTGGAAGTCTCTTTAGGGAAATTGTTTATAATATTTTGAATCTGGTTATCTTTTAGGCTTGAAATAGCATTTGCACTATAAGTTATTTGCCTAATTTTATCTATTCCTATTCCTTCAAACAATGTATAGGTTTTTTTAGCTTTGAAAGTTCTTTTGCGCAAATTTACGTCAGTAATATCAGGAAGAAGTAATTTGATTTCGTTATATACCATTGTTCTTGCTGATTGGTCATCGATTTTATTTTTAGACTTAATATCCCTAATTCGATCTTCATATGCTCTAGTGTAGCAATACCAGCATAAATTCTCTTTTTGTCTAGTTTTCATTGTCGTATTAAATAAATCCGCTATAATCTAAGGCGTAACTTCATTAGACACTATCAATATTGATTCTAGGGGAAGTTCAGGAATTTGCACATCTATGTCTTGTATAGAGATACTTTCCTTAGAACAAACATTTAACTCATGCATTATGCCTTGTTCTACTTTCTGATTGTAGAGAATTTTTATTTCGGAACCTTGTACCTGATCACTGGATATTCCTTCGGGCTCGCGGTCCCCTGACTCATTAAAAATTGATTGGATATTTTTTTGCTCATGAGAAATATTAGAGGAAGTATCAGCAGAGTCTAAGAGTAATTCCTGATCTTGGCACGAATGTACCTTGAAACTTTTTTTCCCGCCTTTTCTGTCTTATCTCATTGCTAACTTTTTCCTTATATACCAAATCTATGAATTCATCGTCCTCTTTTTCTTCCAATGTTTTAGATTCTGAACAGATATGTTGAGTCACATTGGGGCTATTCTTCGCATTAGAGTCATCCTCAATAGGTGGCGAAACGGATGATTGGGGAGTTACCTGTGATTCTGAATTAATTGGAGATTTCGGTATGGATGTATCACCTTGCACCGAAAGATTAATAGCAATTTGCTCCTGTTTGATTTCCTTGATATCATCATCTAATTTAGCAATAAGGTTGGTCTTCTCTTTATCTCTCTGCTCTAGATCCGTGAATTAGGTGTCCTTTGGTTAGGTCTTGGATTGGGCGGTGTTGGGGGGACATAATAGGTCTCAGAGAGGTTATT